ACGCAGACTCGCCCCCATGCTCCCCACCTTGCACAGAGCCCCCAGACCCTCCCACCCCCACCCCATGCACAGAGACCTGGCTGAGGCTGCTTGTTGTGGTCTGCTATCTTGAAGGTGGGGGGATCTGGGATGTCACAACTCAGCAAATGCTTGCACTTTGAGGACTACAGTGAGGAGGCTGGTGGGCTGGTTGGGCGTCTGATGCTGAATTCCACTTCAGGTGCCTGGCTTCAGTGTCTGTTTTATATGTCTAGGTGTGTGTGTGTGTGTGTGTGTGTGTGTGTGTGTGTGTGTGTGTGAGTTACTTTTCTCTCTTTGCTGGAACAAAATTTCCCGGCACCCAAAATTCAGGAAGGAAAGGCTTATTTAGCTCACACTTTGTGGAGATTTCAGTCCATACTTGACTGGCTCCAAGGCAGAGTGGCACATGGCAGAGGGCAGCAGTTGATGGTGGCAGAAGACAACCAAATAGCAAAAGCAGAAGGGGAGGAACAGAGGCCAGAGCAGAGGTAGAGGCAGCCAGCCTGTCTCCCGTCCTTATATTACCTCCAGGCTATCAGAGGGGGCAGCACTTGCACCCGTAACCCAGCCCTGGATCATGAATTAATCACACACTCTAGAAGCTGCCCGTGACTGCACGAGGCTTGGGGGTCACCTGCACACAAACCATGACAGTGTGTAAGTACAGCTGGCACAGCTTCCCAATGAGTTGACCCTTTTCCATTATATGATGATATTTTTTTTTTCCTCTTGGGACTGTTTTTGACTTCAAGTGTATTTGCCTGGTGCGAGTTTAACCACTCTTGTTCTCTTTTCCTAACCCAAAGTTGGAATTTATAGAGTTCTGAGTTTTCTTCCCTGCTTGTCCCAGAGCCATAGTAAGGCTGGCTTGAGTATTGGCTGCCATCAGGAGTGCACAGCCTGCTTGTCGCAGTGGCCTCGTTGTCCTGGTAGATGACCCCACCAGAGACTGCTGTCACTGTTTGGCAGATAGCAGCAGGATCATCGCTAACCACAGAACTGTCACTGTTCCATACTCACTACCTCCCCAGTGTTTAGATGGACCCTTGTGTGGGACTTCTCCAAAATACCCTCACTCTCAAAGAATTCTGATCATACCATGTGACTCTTTACAACTGGCCCTGAATAATTACATCTAAAGAAAATTAAACATCAACACAAAGCACAGTTGGGTCATTTCCATATGTAAATAAACTACAACTGGATCAACTAATTATTCCAAAGAAGAGTGTAGCCAGGATGAGGCAGTGCCAGCAATTAACTGTCACCCACCATCCTGTCCTCCTTCCTCTGTCAACCAGGGCACCCTGGGGTCACAAGGTGTATAAAGCTCATGGATTGATTCACCAAGGATCCATTAGGGGACCCCAAGGGATGTACCCATATGGGGCCAGTAGCCCCTTAGCTTTGGCCCCTGTTAGACCCAGCAGCTTGAGACGAGGTGTGACCAATGGGGACCCAGCTCAGAGGTGACCCAGAGCCCCACCACCTTGGTCAGAGCACACAGCAGCAGGTGTTTGTTCTCAAGAGGGCAGGGAATCAAGTCCTTGTGTTCTCTTGCTCCATACTGGAGCCCAGAGCCATGACGAAGGCAGCCCCCGGCATGTGCTCAGCAGAGGGAGATCCCAGGGCACAGGTGCCACAGCACGATGGGCCCTGGCTGGAGGGCCTGAGTGCAGGGTGAAGGGCCCAGCTCCTCAAGGCGGAGGCCCACATGGAGTAGGCAGCACATGGCCCTGTGGCCTGGAAAGGGCAGAGCAGAAGCTGCGTTGCCAAGCTGGAGGAGACTGGAGCCACAGGGGTGCCCCGGGATCAAGGCATGGGCACATACACCCTGGAGCAGTCCCCTGGTGACTAAAAGAGCCCAGCTGGTGCACAGAAGACAATAAGAGAGTGCAGAGGTCTCTACCCACTCTGAATCTGTGCGGTGCTGCAGAGACAGCGAGGAGGAGGCTCGGTGTGGGGGAGGGGGCCAGATACAAGGAGGGAAGAGGGCTCAAGGCCCCTGAGGCTGCTGACCAGGAGCCACCGAGTGGCAGTTGTGGGCTCCAGGGTGCTCCTGCCCTCAGCCTGGGGAGAGGCCCGCATGCTGTAGGCCTGCAGCCCTGCGCCCACCCAATGGTTTCCTACCTCGCGGAGGTGCTCAGCAGCACACTGGTGGTCTCCGATGCTTGTCTTTCTCTACGTGCTGGGACACAGTGCCACCCCCGAGATGTAACCTCTTTTGAGAGAGAAAAGTTGGGCAGGACGCTTAATAGTTCAGCCTGGCCACTGCCTCAGGGTTCTGCGCACAGCCCTTTGCAGTAAAGCTAGATGCTTTCACAGGCAGTTCACTCACAGAGTTTTGCTTCTGAACACTTCTGATTTAGAGCTGTTGGCTGAGCCAAGAGGCTTAGGGCGTTGGAGCTTAGAGTAAACATCGGAGGATGTGTTTTGCTTGCCCAGGAGGCCAAAGCAAAGCCACACAGACCGGGCAGCTTTAACAAGCTTATTTTCGTGTAGTCTGTAGCCTGGAAGTCTGAGACCAAGGTGCTGGCCAGGTTGGTTTCCCCTGGGGGATCTGCTCGGCCTGCAGATGTGGTGTCCTTAGGTCTTCCGTGGTCTCTGTGTTTATGTCCTCATCTCCCCTCTAACGTGCCAGTCAGAATGGCGTAATGCCCATCCTCATGACCTCATTTTGACTCTGTTGCTTTGATAAAGATGCGAATTCTAAGTGTAGCTATAGCCTTGGGTCTTGGAGACAGGGATGTGGACACTGAATCCTGCAGTGGCCACCTTCCAGCCCGCAGCAGAGGTGCCCATGTTCAGCGCAGCTCTGTACACTTGCTTCGTGGCATGGATCTTCCTGGAGGGAGACTCGTGCCTCTTGGCCTGGGCATCCCTCTGCTAGCTGTCACCTCCCTCTCCGAAATCACCACAGCTCTGTAGCTGCTGAGTTTGGGTCCTGGGGGCTCTTTGTTCTCCATGCTTCTAGTGCTGACAGGGGAAGCTGAGTGCACGTGGAGCAGCACCCCTATCGCCAGCACTCACAGCCTGCTTCGGGGCCTGTGCTCTGCATAGGCCAGGGCACCTATGGTGGGGAGTTCCCGTCTGGCCTGGTTTGATCGAAAGCAGGACATTGTTGTCCGTTGGTGCCCAGGCGCTGCAGTCCTAAGCCCGTGTCCCGTAATACTAAGGGTAGCACGGTGCGGCATCTGCATGTAGCCTGTGCACCACCCCTGCACACTGACCTCTCTGGGTGGCTCAGAGTACCAGAGGCCAGTGAATAGTGGTGACCCTGTACTGCTTGGGGAATAATGACAGAAAGCTGTGAGCATGTCCAGTACAGATGAAGCTTTTCCCTGAATTCGTCTACCTGTGGTAGGCTGGCCGTGTGGATGCAGAGCCTGTGGATACAGAAGGCTGGCTGTACTTGCTGAAATGAAAAGGAGTTTATGTCGTGCCCAAGGAAGCCTAATCTAAGACATCTGCCTGGTTTCCACAGGGGCTGCCTCTCTTTTCTAGTCAGCATGACTGGCTCATGGATGACGCGGTCATGACTGCCACTCCAGAGAAATGGTTCGCATGTCCAGCTGCTCCTAGAGAGACATCAGGCGGGAAGCGCTGCCCTTGGGCTTTGAAAGAGTGGAGCCAAGCTTTGTATCTTGTGGCATCTTCTGCAGGCTGGGCTCTTGATAGTGCAGCTCACAGAGCGGTGTTCAGTCTTAGGTCACCTTTCGAAGTAAAGCCTTCATCTGCCTTGGAATTGCCACAGGGGCGCAGTATTGATGGGGCACCCTACACGAGCTCCATCGCAGGGCTCTGCAGGAGAACTGCTGCTGTGTGGATGCGCAGCACACTCGCAGGAGTGGCATAGTCCCAGCATGCATTGCGGCCTTGGCTATACTGTGCAGCCTTCCTTCTTCAGTAGGAAGTGAATGCAGTTCCCTGGTCAGTGAGCATCATCCAGGGGTCAGCCAGAGAGCAAGGGCTCCCGGTGCCTCTGGTGAGTGGTCAAGACCCATAGTGGTGGCCTTGAGGGGCATGCAGTGGGCTGTCCACCAAGGGGATGGAAAGGCAGCTGTACAGACAGCCCCTGCTTGGTGGCACTGCCAGGAAAGGTCAACTTCACCCCTTGCTGTGCTCCAGAACCTGCAGGCTTTCCTCTTGTGACCTGCCGCAGACCCCAGGACCGTGTCTGCTCTGGCACTGTCCCAATATGGGGCTGTCCTCTGGTGGGCCAAGAGGACAAGTGGGCTGGAGTTGGACTGTCCTTCTGAATCTATAGAGCCATCAGAGTCTATAACCTCCTCTCATAGATTTACCACATTTCAAATGGAATATACTGATGTTTTTAGTAACTTCATGACTGCTTCATCGGTATGCTTTGGTTTGGTTTTGGTCATACTGGGGATTGAACCCAAGGCCTTCACATTGAGCTACAGCCCTGTCTGTTTTAGTTTTATTTTTGAGATAGTATCTTGCTCATTGCTAAGTTGCCCTGACGTGATTCTCCTGCTTCAGCTTCCCAGAATGTTGGAATTACAGGTTTGCATGTAATCGTGCCTGGGTAACTTTATGACTTACAATGAAAAAAGAAATGCCAAAAGTAATCCCTGTCCTTTTTCTGAAGGCATAACTTTGGGACACATGAGATACCTGTTAGGAGTATATTAGCTCTACAGAACATCAAATGTACCAGAAACCACCTTGCCTAGCTCTGCCCTGTGGTGTTGCAGTTGTCCTCCACTGGCTGTAGTCAGTTCCTAGAGTAAAAACAAGCCTGTGTGCAGAGTAAATAAACATCACATTCTAGAGTTGCTCCCAGATGCCTCGCAGCCAAGGTAGAGACCCTTGTGCCTGGGACTCTGAGTCCCCTTCCTTGCACGGCCTGGGACTTCCCAAGCTTCCATTGTGCTGGTGCCTCCCTTCCCACTGTGGTGGGGACTGAGTGGGGTGCCTGTACACAGTCACACAGTGTGTACCCCTCTTCTCTGCAGCACCCACAGCAGTGGAGAGAAGGCCGGGCTGCACAAGGAGAACCTGCTGCTGCGTGGCTGCACCATCAGGAACACAGAAGCTGTGGCTGGTATTGTCATCTATGCAGGTGGGCATGGCCCCTCACCCCTGCGCTCCCTCGCAGGCTGTGTACCTCAAGCTCTTCTTCTTGATCTGTGTCTGGTTATAAGATTAGTTTATATCCATTGTTAAGACAATTAGGGGGCTGGAGATACAGCTCAGCAGCACAGTGCCTGCCTGGCAAGCACAAGGTCCTGAGTTCTATCCCTGGTACTAAAAACATTTAAAAAAAAAAACTAGGACAAAAGAAAAGAATAAAACCAAGACTTCTAATAGCATCTGAAGCAAGAGTGTTCCCTCTTGTCATTTTAGCATATTTAGCATATCAATTCATTTGTCCCTGGCTATTATTATAGGCAAGCTTAATTTTATACCCAGCTATTTTGACCAAATACATCCCTTCGGTGAGAAGGATGGTGGCGTGGTAGTTCACGCTGTGGACCCACATCCCTCGCATCTTAACTGCTGGGCATTGACTCACCCCTGCAGGACACGAGACCAAGGCTCTGCTGAACAACAGCGGGCCCCGCTACAAGCGCAGCCAGCTTGAGAGGCAGATGAACTGCGATGTGCTCTGGTGTGTCCTTCTCCTCATTTGTATGTCTCTGTTTTCAGCGGTCGGTAAGTCTCCTGGGAGGACACCAGTGAATGCTGAGCAGATGCAGGTGATCCTGGTGGGCTCCCCCAACTCACTGGGGCCCACCTAGTACCCTAAAATCAAAACCCATGTCTTTCCCTGGCTCAGACTTCAGGGTGGTTGGCACCAGCACAGGCTGTGTGGCGAGGCCTTGATGAGTGGGCTTGGCAGAGCAATGCCATTCTCCCAGCTGACAAGAGGTGCATGGAGAGTGGCTTTGTCACAGCCATAGTCCTGAGTCCTGTGGAAGAAGAACCAGACAAGTCAAGCCTTAGTGGCAGGAGAGGCACAAATCTACTCATGGAAACTTCATGCAAACAGAGAATTGTTGGGATCCTGAAATAGACCTGGAACATTCCATGAGATTGGTGGGAGGGGGCAGTATGGCAAGGCCCCAGCAGTGACCCTCACTTTGTCCCTGCTCAGCATGTCATCTGCAGGGAGTGGTGTGATGTGGTCTCAGAGCTCAGGCGTAACAGACATGGGAGCACAGAGCACAGAAAGCCTTGTGTTTCCAGGGAGGCGTGGGCCCTGATTCATTCAGTAGCAGGCATGGATTCCGCGCACGGCATCTCAGATCCGTCATGCATGAATCTGGGATCTCTGGGAAGGGACATTATGGGTGGCACCCAGAACTCAGCGTGTCTTCACCAAGTAGCCACGAGACCGAGCGCTTGGGAGACAAGGCTGGGGAGTCTCTCTTGGGCTCTGCACTCTGCCATGGCCAGGCCTGCTTGTGACCAGCATGCCGTTCTGCAGCAGCAGCGGAGGCTCTGGGTGTGCAGAGAAGCCCACATTCAGACTCCTTCCAGGCCTGGGTCGTGGGTCCCGCGGGTCCTGTGTGCCTTTGCCTTCGTGTGTGGCAGGGCAGGCCACCAAGCCGAGTCGTCGGTGGCAGTAACAACCCTAAAGCCTGCCTTCACTTACACCAGCACCTTGTTATCTTCCTACCCGACAAACACTGTTTTTCCCTGCATGTTTCTACAGGACATGGACTGTGGGTACGGCGTTACCAGGAGAAAAAGGCTCTATTTGATGTCCCCGAGGCCGATGGCAGCTCTCTGTCCCCAGTCACAGCTGCGGTGTACACATTCTTGACAATGATAATAGTCCTGCAGGTAACACTGCTACCTGCCCTGCGATAAGTGCTGAGCTTTTCCCAGAAGAACACAAAATGCACCACACTCTAAGTGACGGCCACAGACACACCTGCCAGAGGTGCTGGCTTTGTACCCCTTCACCTTCATTTATCTGTAGCGCTTTTCCTGGGTGATATGCAAATTGTTCTCCTTTGCTTTTCTTAAGGTTTTTGGGTTTAGGTTGAGGATTAGTTACCATTCCATTTTACTGTTTTTCCTTTTACTTAACTTTATGTGTGTGCAGAGCTGGGGATCAAACCCGGGTCCTTGCACCTGGTAGGCAAGTGTCCCAGCGCCACACTGTATACCTAGCCTCAGTGACTTAAAAAAAAAAAAAAAAACTTGTTTCAAAATAATTTCATGATTTGCACAGAAGCTTTGCGGGCTCACCCAAGCAGTTCGCATATCTCTCTCTAAGCTTTCCCTACTGTGACCGTGCTGTGTTGCTGCGGTCTGTTGTAAGAACTAAGAGACCAAATCGCTTGCTGTCCACTTTTCTCCAAGTTGCTGTGCTCAAGGCCCGGTGCCTCTCCAGGAGCGTGGTCTCTCTGTTCCGGGGTACTTTATCCGGTGTCCCATGTTAGCTGCCAGGGGTGGCTGTTACTGTGGTGGTGGCAGTGCTGCTGGTGGCGGTGGTTGCTGGCGTCACCCGTTCCCTTGCCTCCTTGCAGTTTGCAGGCAGGGCCGACAATCCATATCCAGAAAGGTTTGAGAAAGAGGTGGATGGCTCTAGACTCCCGAGCGCAAGAGGGGCTGGGAGGGGCTCTGCCGCCACCACCACTGCTGGTCATTTTGAGAACACGAGGGACGCCCAGAGCTCATGTGCGCGGCTCCGCCTGCAAGAGAACTTTCGCAGTCTCTGACATCTGTGCTTCTTCACAGGCAGCAGCCTTATTTAGTGTTCCAAATTGGTCTTTTTTATAAATGCAGATTCTGTTCTAGCCTGGAGTTAGGATAATAGTTGGTGTTCATTAGCATAATTAAGATACCATGAGAACCCAGTTCATCCAGAATATGATATTCTCGGCTCATAAACATTAATTCAGTACTATGACTTAAGAAATAAACAAACATCAATTTTAAGGAAGTCGGTTTTGGTTCTCAAGTCACGGTGGTGAATATTTTCTCAAAGCCTTCTTCCCTTTGCTTCATAGCACACCAGATCATAGACACGGCCCTTCCACACTGGGCTGGCTCTGCCCTGGTAGCTGTCCCCAAGCTGGGGCTTTGTCCTCAGAAGGGCCAGCACATCCCTGGGGCCCTGGGGACCGAGGGGTTGAGTTCTGCTGTGGTTTGAGCTGTCTTTGCTTTCACGACTCTGACTGTGCCGTGTTTTTTCTCTTTTCTCTCTCTCCTTTCCTAGCCTCTCTCCTGCACCGCTTAGTAACCCGAAAGCGCTGGCTTCTCCCCAAGCCACGGCCACACTTGCGGCAGCATAGTGGACATCCGCTCCGCAGTTGCACCGTAGGCCCTCCTAGCTCAGACTCTTTGCCACTATTCTTATCCTTTGCCAATAGTGACTCTAAGCCAACCCATTTAAACTCTTCTTAAAGGTACGGTATAGCCCCCACCTGCTTGCAGTTGTAGCCACCTGTCGTTGCAGCAGATCGGGCTGCGTCTGTGGCCTCATCCCCACGGCCACTCATTGGCTGTGCTATGTCTCACAGGTTTTGATCCCCATTTCCTTGTACGTCTCCATTGAGATCGTCAAAGTGTGCCAGGTGTACTTCATTAACCAGGACGTGGCCCTCTATGATGAGGACACGGACTCCCAGCTGCAGTGCCGGGCCCTGAACATCACCGAAGACCTGGGGCAGATTCAGTACATCTTCTCGGACAAGACCGGCACTTTAACTGAGAACAAGATGGTGTTCCGAAGGTGCACCGTGTCTGGGGTAGAGTATTCTCACGATGCAAACGGTGAGTCTGAGGAGGGGGCCTCCAGGTGGGCCAGGCCAGAGAGCTACACACAGGGACCCACACATAGAGGCCCACGCGTGCACACATGCACACACCCTCACACGCTTCAAGGATGGCTGTTTTTCAAGGGAACATAAAGATGTGGCATGACTGTCACAGCCCCTTGGGAGCCCAGAGCCTACTGCTATTTATAGGCCAGGTTGATGCCCCCTGGCTCACTACGCTGCCTGCGTGATAGGCTTCTGCTTCCACACCATGTTCTGCCAGCCAGGTGCAGCCCGGCTGGCAGCCCTCAGGACCTCACCACCAAGGCACTCGGCCGCCTTTTTCTGCTACACTGCAGAGCGGTTGTGCTGTCACCTGGCAGCCTCAGTAGCAGCCGAGAGCTCGCAGAAGGGCGTCATTGGTGCAAGCTGCAGTCCGTCCCTGGGGACACAGGCTCTGTGGTGGGTCGCTGCAGAAAGAACTGCCCTCTCTGTGTGGGCGGCCCCTCCCCCGCCTCTCCTTTGATCTGAAGGCAGGCTGGGGTGGTGGGGGCTGCTGCTTAGCAAGCCAGGGCAGAAATGGAGACTGCTGCCCTTAGCCCAGCTGGGAAAGCCCTGTGGAAAGGGAACCTGCTCAGCACCCTTGTTTCGGGGCCCTTTCACTTCCTAGTAAGGCCGCTGGGACTCGCGTCCTGTAGCAGCCACAGGATGATCCCCCTACCTCCCTGCCCTCTCCCTGCCACCCACCCTGTGTCCTTGCACCCCATTTCTGGGAGGTGAGATTAGCATTTGCAATCTTCTGCTTCATACAGTGAGCGTACGTGTTCAGTAATGGCGTGCATTGGCTTCAGAATGACTAAGTGCACCTCAAGTGTCTCCTCATGAAAAGGGGTGGCTGAGCCAGGCCACAGACGCATTCACTGCACTCACAGTGTGTTATAAATGCCCCCGAGATGACACATCCCATCCTGACAGTGTGCAGGGCTGTGACTTGTCAGTCAGAAATAACATTCATAATACTTGCTTTAAAATGATAGCAAACTAAGAACCTGAGGCTTCATGGGGAAGAACCACAGACTGTTGCCAAGTGTCCCTCATGAAACCAGAGGGTTCTGTCACCTGCAGGAGATGCGGGAGGGGTTCTGAGGGGGAGGTAGCAGCCTGCATCTCTGCACCATGCTGTGCACAAGCGCCGAGGCAGCAGCTGACAGGCTCTGAGCAGAGCGGATCCTCCATCAGCAAGTCCCAAGACCTGCCCCCTGTCTGCCCACTGGTGAGCGGGTTCAGATAGGTTTCACCTGCTGCTGTTCCCAGAGCCAGCCACAGACCCAGCAGGTCCCCTTCTCTGACCTCCTAACCTGACAGCCACTATGCTCACTGTACATGCAGTGCTGGGTGACCCCTAAACCGCAGCCTCAGCCTCCCCGAGTCCACTGGCTGAGACACCACCAGCCACCACCACACACCAGCAGTGGCCATCGGCCTGGGGGAGAAGATCAGACGTCTAACCCAGTGACATCCAGGCCTCGTTCTCCCCCACCCACCAGCTGGCTTCGCCTGAGACCGTTGTCGCCTGGGAGGTTCAGGAGTTGTTCTACCTATGACCGTGGGCCGGTGGCATCCCCTCCTTAGTCCTTAGTTTGTCAGCTCCGAAGGAAGGTCTGCTAAGATGCGAGCATACCTGTACTCCCACCTGGCGCTATACCTGCACTTCAGGTTCGATCAGATGTTTGCTGGGAAGGAGTCATCCTAACGGGAAGCCGAGGAAGACGTGCTCAGAGCCGGCAGTTGGAAAGACACAGAGGCGCAGTTCAGCCCTTCTCCCCGCAGTGGGAACTGCTTGGCAGCGCCCCCTACAGGCCTACTGCAGTCAGGCTCCTCTGGAATTCTTTGGCTAGGGACACACAGGCTGCAGGACGCTGTGCTGTGGCTCTTAGAGCAGCGCCTGCTCTTGCTTTCCCTTCACACTGAGCAGCGGCATAAGGCAGTACTGCTGGCAGTACCCTACCCGCGGCCTCAAGCAAGGGCCCTGGTCCAGCGAGCACCCCAGCCTGAGGTCCTGTGCGTTTCCCTTAGCAACGCAGACCTGTGATGTCCTGTCTGCCCCACAGACCCTGCTGTTGTGGGCAGATCCCTGCTCCCCACTGTGTGGGCCAGGCATTTGCACCCCCTACTCCCCTCCGTCCTGCTGTCCTGAATCTGCGTGACCTCACCACACCCTTGAGTTCTGAAATGAGCCTCTGTCTTCTCATCTGTGAAATGGAGTTGAATACATCGACCCCTCAGGTTGATGAAGGACAAGGATAAACAAGAAAGTCCTTTACTCCTCTGCCTGTGGATGCTCTCATTAAATGTGTCCTTGAATTAGAGAGTTCTCTGAGGGAGCCCCACCCCAAAACGTTTGTGGAGCACAAGATACCCTGCAAGCTAGGTGTGGTGGTGCATACCTGGCCCTGAGCACTCTGAGAGGCTGAGACCAGAGAATCACACGTCAGGGCTCAGTCTTAGCAAGACCCTGTCTCAACAGAAACAAATTTGAAAGGAGGTGGGGCCGTAGCTCAGTGCACAGGCTCTGGCTTCCATTTTAATCAGCCCAGTGGGCCCAGCCTGACCCTTGGTACTGACTCATCCCTGTCCCTCAGCCCAGCGGCTGGCGAGGTACCAGGAAGTGGACTCGGAGGAGGAGGACGCTGTGCCCAAGGGGGGGTCGTGGTCTCGGCGCGGCAGCATCGGGAGCCACCAGAGTGTCCGGATCCTGCGCAGGACGCAGAGCACCAAGTCGCACCGGCACGCCGGCAGCCGCGCGGAAGCCAAGAGGGCTGGTGAGCCGTCCAGGCACACCGCCTTCAGCAGCCCCATGGTGAGTGTATGGGCTGGCGTTGCCCTTGGATACGAGCGGCATCTGCATCCAGCGGTGCCCGGGAGCTCTTGCTGGAGAGCTAACTCTGCTGGGTTGGCAGAAACTCTCGGGCCAATACCCTCCCGCCACGGGTGTGTCCTTTCCAACACAGCAACCCAGGCTCTTTGTCACCGCGTCTGGCTGGCTGGTTGCCACGCGAGCCACCTGGAAAGGGTGACGGAGAGGGTGCATCTCCCGCCAGGTGACACAAATAAAACATCAGGACAAGGTGACACTGGGAAAGTGGCAAGGCAACTCCTGCGCTCACAAGAGGTTTTAGGGGCACGAGCCCGTATTCCTCCTTGCCCAGCCTGCCACGGGTGGGTCACCGACTTTAGGCAAGGAGATGTGCGGGGCCGACGCCAACTCTGGAAGATGCTTTCGCTTGTGAAATCTTGGAGGGACAAGCGAGACCGCTGTGCCCTCTCTGGGCGGCGGCCTCACTACCTCAGCCCCTCCGGACCCGCGCAAGCTGCTGCCGTGACAGCACTGCGGAGTCAAGGCACCAGTCGGGGTTACACGGGGCAGCGGGAGGAGGGGCGACCTGCACTCGGAGTCACCCTGCTGCCCTGGCGATGCGGCGATCCCGCTACCTGCTGCTCTGCGGGGAAGTTTATCCATATATTTACATCAGCAGAGTGGTAAAGCGGGTTTTGGTATTCAGTAATAAGCAGATGATCAGAAGAATTACGATGTGTCCACCTGAATTCTTGAATCCATGGAAAAGTTCAGAAACACAATGTCTTGTGGAAATGGAAACTGCCAATGTGCATATAAATATTTTGATTATGTGAAATTTAAATATAGACCAAAAATGCAAGGAAATGCAGAACTATGAGTCTCAAAAGAAGAGATATTCAGCTGGGTGTGGTCCTGTACCCCTGTAATCCCAGCACTCTGGAGGCAGAGACGGGAAGGTCATTGGGAGTTGGAGGCCAGACTGGGCTGCCCAGTGAGTTCAGGGCTAGCGTGAACCACATAATGAGACACTGTCTCAAACAGACAATAACAACAAAAGTAGATGTTTTTGCAGTGCTATAATACAGATTTGCTGATTTTTTGAAGATTGATAAATATTATTTTACAATAGTATATCTTTTTTATGTATTTTGTCCAGGGTCTACAGTGTCTCACTATACAGATCGACTCCTAGTGATCCTCCTGTTTTCAGCCTCCCAAGCGCTGGGATTGCAGGCGTACAACACCACCCCCAGTCTCATTCGCTGTCTCAGCACACCCCAGGGGTGGGGCTGGCACAGCATGCCGAGGATGGACCCTGGTCCCTGTTCCTGCCTAAGCAGACACTTTAGTCCGCTGAGCTATCTGGCTGGCCTAATAGCGTATCTTAGACTCTTTATTGATTGATTGATTGATTGGTACCAGGAGTTGAACTCAGGACCTTGCACTTGCCAGGCAGGCACTTGTGCCACTGAGCTATAGCCCAGCCCCATTAGACTGTATATAAAAAATGGATATTGACTAAACATCAGAATATGTGCACTTCCCTGCATGTACGATGATATTTTCTGCTGTTAGAATTCCAGACAGCTCACAGCTGTAAAGCGACTCGTGCACATGTGAGGTGAAGTTCTGTTTCTACCCGGTAAGACTGTCAAGGCTTGCTACGTCGCCCTGCTCCTGGGGCGCAGCAGTTGCTGGGGCAGCCTCACCAGCAAGTGCGTGCTTTCCTCCCAGGAGAAAGACATCGCGCCCGACCCGAAGCTGCTGGAGAAGGTCAGCGAGTGTGACAGGTGCCTGGCCATCTCGCGGCACCAGGAGCAGCCCCTGGCACACCTCTCGCCCGAGCTGGCAGACGTCTTCGACTTCTTCATTGCGCTTACCATCTGCAACACGGTGGTGGTCACGTCCCCCGCTCAGCCACGACAAAAGGCAAGCTGCAGAAGGCCCCTGAGAGCACGCTCTGCCTGGGACCCTGGCGCCCTCCTCAGTGCATGCACACCTCGTGTTCTGCAGGGAGCCACTCAGCAGGCCACTCGGGTGTAAGGAGGCTGCTGCAGCATGCGAGGGCTGCATAGGGACATTCCAGCCTGTCATGGGCGCATGCCTGGACAAGGCCAAGGGGGAGAGGACAGACTGCCTATGACACTTTAAACTGGGACAGGAAGACCAGAGAGTGGCCACGCAGGGCCTGGTCTGGGTGGGCCATGAGTTCCTAAGGCCCTGCCTGCCTTCAGAGCTCCTCCCTTGCCTGACAGGGTGGAAGAGAGACTCCTGGGGTGGCATCCCCAGAGCCTTGAGGTCCCAGAGACACGCAGGAGAGAGGGCGAGAGGGTGGACTGGGATGGGATGTGGGGAGATGAGTGCTACAAGGCTGGCTGTGTGCCCAGTCTGCCTCGCCTCAGGCTCAGGCTTCCCCTTCCCACCGGGATGAGCCATCGGTGAGTGGTGTTGGTGAGCAAGGTGTCCCTGCTGGTGTCGGCCAGCAGCCGCCACACCAGCCCGCTGAGGTCCTGTGCATGGCTGTGGTGGAGCCCAGGGCGACAGGTCTGGGTACACAGAGACACAGGCATGTACGGCCAACCCAGCGCGGCCATACACATGGTCCTCTACCAGCCTGCTCCAAGAGAAAATGAAAACCAGCCTTCCATGTGGCGTTTCCACAGAGGGTGAACAGGCACCAGCTTTACACACGGCCGTGATGTCCCTTCACTCAGCCTGCAGGCAGCGTGTGAGCCTGTGATTCCCTGCCTTGTCTCCTACTGCCCTCCAGCAGGTGAGGGTGCGGTTTGAGCTGAAGTCTCCGGTCAAGACGATAGAAGAGTTCCTTAGGAGGTTGGCGCCCAGCCGCCTGGCCTCTGTGTGCAGCAGCACGGGCAGCCTGGCCACCAGCAAGTCCAGCCACAAGTCGGGCTCTGGCTTCCTGTCCAGCCTCTCCAGTGACGGTGTGTTTCTCAAGCTGGAGGAGAGGCTGGGCCAGCCCACGCCGTCCATCGCCAGCAATGGCTACAGCAACCAGTCTGAGAGCTGGGCCCCCGAGCAGAAGCCAGAGCTGGGCCAGGAGCAGGAGCTGCGCTACGAGGCCGAGAGCCCTGATGAGGCGGCGCTGGTCTACGCTGCCAGGGCCTACAACTGCGCGCTGGTGGCCCGGCTCCCTGACCAGGTCTCCGTGGAGCTGCCCCGCCTGGGCAGGCTCACTTTCGAGCTCCTGCACACACTGGGCTTTGACTCCATCCGCAAGAGGATGTCGGTGGTAATCCGGCACCCGCTCACCGACGAGATCAGTGTCTACACCAAGGGCGCTGACTCTGTGGTCATGGATCTGCTGCTGCCCTGCTCCTCAGGTACCCCTCCCCCTGCCGGCCGTGCCCCAGAAGTCTCCTCCCCGCTGCCAACTGTACCCTCAGATACCGGGAGGCTCACCATCCTTGTCAGTATTGTGTTCAAAGTCACCTGGTCCTCAGGACGACCAAGGAATGTCCCAGCCCCAGAACGCTTGGCCTGGGCCTCGCACCCCACCCTTCTCACCCGTCTGGGGCAGAAATTACTTGGGGAGCATCCAGTCTTCAGTCCTAAGGGTGGAGGTGGAGAACGTGAGACTGTAAGCTCCTTCCTGCCTCCAACCCCAGGCAGCTCTGAAGTCCTGGCTGCAGTTTTCTGCTATCCTGGGAAGGGGGACTGCTGGCCTCATGTCCTAACTCCATGCCGGCGGCTCCAAAGCTGGGCTGTTTATCACTTTTGAACTAAAGTGAGGCTGGAAACCCTGTGTGCAAGGTGGAGCTGCAGGCAGCAGAGGCTGGAGGTGCTCTTGGTCCCTGAGGAGGGGCAGTCCTTGCCGCACAAGCCTGCTTACCCACCCTCAGCCCTCAGGGGAGCCAGGGGTGAGTCTCGCCTCAGGTCAGGAGCAGGGTGCAGGCAAGGGTGCTGCGGGAGCTGCGGAGGCACTCAGGCTCCTGCTGTTTGCTGTCTCCTGGAGGCAGCAGCCCTGGGTACCACCTGCTGCAAACCCTGCGCTGCACGGGCCTCTGTGACCTCCAGGGTGGCTCCAGGGAATACTGTCTCCCATCTGTCCTCACCATGGCCTTAGTGTCCTATGTCCAGGGACAGAACCTGTGGCCCAAAGCTATCCCTCCAAGGGGCCATATGGTCTGCCAGTGCTTTTTTTTTTTTTTTTTTTTTTTTTTTGAGACGGGGTTTCACTATGCAGTTCAGGCTGGCCTTGAGCTCACGTTGATCCTCCTGCCTGCAGATGTATGTCTGTGCCACCGTGCCTGGTTTCGCCAGTGCATTTTTTAAATGAGTAGAAAACCTCAAATATAAACCCCACACAGACCCCTCGTGATAGCTCTGGATACAGCCCCCCGTGTTAGCTCTGTGGCGTGGTAGCTGGACATTGCTGGGTACTTATAAAGAGAAGAGGGGGTTTTTGGCTCATGGTTTAGAGGCCTCCCTGGGTTCTGTTGCTTTAGGCTGGAAACAAGGCTGCCCCCCGGGAGAGCATGTGCTCACAGTAAAACAAACTGCTCTTCTCAGGGTCAGGAGCCAAGAAGGGAGCAGGAAGACCTGGGTCCCTCGGTTCCCCTCAGGGCACGCACATCCTCAGTGACCATCCCCAGGCCTGCCCCCTAGTGGCTGCACCTCCTCTGGCCCCACCTTTAATGTGCAGGTGGAGGGAGCACATCCTTGGCCCCCTCAAGGAACACGACAGCACCTCCTCCTACCCGCACCCTCAGGGTAACCCACAAATGCATGGCTTTCGATTGAAGAAGCTCAGTGTGAGTGCCTGTTCCCGTCCCTGCTTCTGTGTAATACACGAAGGTACAAGGAGCAGGTGCTTGGAGCGCGCAGGCTCCCGGAGAGCGGTGTGCCCACCTCCTGGGTACCCTTGGGACAGGAGCCAGGGGAGGCCAGGGGAAGCCAGGAGCTCAGACTCAGGATCCTAGATTTAGCAAAGCATAACAGAATACAGGATGTGTTTGAAATTCAAATAATTTTTTTTTTAATTTAAGTTGCCTGATACAATATTTAGATGTATCTTGTCTGTCAGCACCACCAGTGAGTATGTTCCAGGGAGAGAGACCGCACTTTCTATTACGCAAGACTTTTAACAAACCTAAGAGTGTGCGCTCATATTTAATAGACTAGACCCGTTATCATTTGTGATGAGCTGTTAATCTTTAGAGTGTCATTTCAACAAAAGATCTTAGAAACAGCCAAAACTATGTGCTTGGATGAAGTTCTTTAGAAAATAAAGCAGCCAATCTTTACGCACTGCATGAAGCCGGGCCTTGGGCTTAGATCCCATTAGCAGGCAGGTGGGGACTCGCAGGCCCTATCCCCCTCCATCCTCCTTTCCGCTTCTCCTCACCCCAGAGGAGGCCAGAGGGCAGCATCAGAAGAAGATCCGCAGCAAGACGCAGAGCTTCCTCAACCTGTACGCCATGGAGGGCCTGCGCACGCTGTGCATTGCCAAGAGGGTGAGCGGGGACCGTGCTGGGCATGTGGGTGCTGCCCCTCCATGCTTGGCCTCACCAGTGTGCCCCATGCAGGTTCTGAGCAAAGAGGAATACGCCTGTTGGCTGCAAGGCCACTTGGAAGCGGAGTCGTCCCTGGACAACCGCGAAGAGCTGCTCTTCCAGTCTGCCTTGCGCCTGGAGACAAACCTGCACTTGCTGGGTAACTTTCTGGAAGCGGCCATGGCATGGAGCGGTGTCTGCTCTGCAGAGATGGCTTGGGGCGGGTTGGGGCGGACTCCGCACCGCAGCTGCTGGGAGCCCGTGGACTCAGCTGGGTGAAGTTCAGGAACAGTCTGGCCTGAAGCTTCCATCCTCCGGGCCGGAAGGCCCTCGGGTCAGCCTTCTCCACAGACGTTCATGTGAGTTTGTGCGCCAGACAGAAGGGTGTCTGGAAGCTTCCGCTGGATGCAGGGGCAGCAAGGATGCCTCCCCACGTGGCAGACCTAGAGAACTGCTGATGAATATGTCCCAGGTTGCACTGGGGTGAAAGAAAACAGGCTCATTTTTGCTAAAATGTGTTCCTGCTTCCTACAGTGCCCTATTAACATTCAATTGATACTCATTAATTTTAGTAATAAATTAAGGTATTTATACTTATTTTTCCCACCAGCTGGGCATTGAACCTAGAGTCTTCTAACTGAGCTACATCCCAAAACTGTATTTTATTTTTCACTTTGAAGACAGGCCTCACTAAGTTGTCCAGCCTCCTGTTGAGCTTGCAGACCTCCTGCCTCAGCCTCCCAAATTGCTGGGGTGGCAGGCACATGCCACCATGCCTGGACAGTTTTACACTTATTTGAATGTTCAGAGCAGTTAAGAATTTGTTAACGCATTGCATTCGTGAGGATGCATGTTTGTGTGGACTGTGTGGCTTGGTACGCCCTCACAAGTAGCTGGTATGTGGCGGTGTGCACCTCCTCCTGCCCCTGGAAGCTGAGGGTCAGATCCCAACTGGCGCTGCTTGAAGCTCCAGAGACTTCATCTTTCTTCATTTAACAAAGCAAGACTGTGCACTGGGCCTCAGCCCCCGGGGGGAGGAGCAGGGACACTGTGTGTGAGGATCCGTGCATCTAGCATAATTTATGGTTAGTAGTACCTAATGTTGAGTGTCATGACATGCACCAGATACAGTGAACATGTGCTGTCGCGCTTCGCCTCACCTGCTGCTTCTGACAGGCAGCCTGGGGTCCCTGGCTGTGACGTGAATGATGTCCCCCTCAGTGGCTGTGCCTACTGCAAGGCCCTGGGCTGTGACTTCCAGGCCCAGCTCCGTGCAAGCCCCGCAAGCCCTGGGGCCAGGCAGTGGACACAGGATGGGCCTGGAGCCCAGAGATCTCTGGCAGTGTGGCAGTACCTGGGCCCCAAGACCAAGCACCTGCTGGTGCTGGCCTGACACTGGGATGGAGGGGTCCTGTTGGCCCTGCTGGACAGGCACTCTTGCCCCCGGGTGGCACTTTCCTCTCATTTCTCAGAGGCAAGCCTGTCTCTCGGGTCCTCCCTGTGGGTGCAGGTCCCCCTCCCTGGAACACTGTGAACAAGACCTCACCTCCGCCGTTTATGGACGACTTCCAAGCTGTCTGTAAAGTTCTAAGTTAAGCCCGTGTTAGGAACAACGGAGGCTCTGTGCCAAAGTGCCCTTGATAACTCTCTTGGGGCTCACCCTGTCCCTGCATGCTCTGGAGCCACTCCCAGAGAGTGAGCAGTGTCCACCAGTGTCCCGCAGTGGTGGCTCATGGAAGTTACTTCCAAAGGGACTTCCTGTCTCCATGTGGCAGACCAGACTGGTAGCCAAACTTCACACAGCTCCCAGTCCACGGGGGCTACGCCACCCACACCTGTCTGTGGTATATGAGGGGTGTGGCATGCACACCCTTTCAGGAGTTGGTGGGCCTGTGAGGAGAGGACCCATGCATGTTGTTGCCCGTCCATTTGAACAGGTGCCACTGGGATTGAAGACCGCCTGCAGGATGGAGTCCCCGAAACCATCTCTAAACTGCGGCAAGCAGGCTTACAGATCTGGGTTCTCACGGGTGACAAACAGGAGACAGCTGTCAACATTGCCCATGCCTGCAAACTGCTGGACCACGATGAAGAAGTCATCACCCTGAATGCCGAGTCCCAGGTAGGCGGACTTCAGGGAGGCTTTGCAGGCTCCAGCGTGTCTGCCTTCTGCACGCGTCCGTCTGCTGCAGTCCCCCAGCCTGTGTTAGATGTCCCCCGGGATGCTTCCTGGCCTTGGGCTCTGATTCCTTGCACCACTCCCATTGTGAACTGCAGGTGTGTCACGCCACAGCAGGAGTTGTTCTTGTCTGGCTGCTGTTGGAGTTTCGTCTGTGTCTTTCGCTTTAAACAATCCAGTTACAATGCCTTTGGGCGTGACTTTCTTTAACTCTGTGATCCAGAATTGGCTAATGCTGTGGGGTTTATCTTTTACCAAATTTGGGAAGTTTTGGTTTTTCAAACATTTTTGAAGTGCTCTGTACTTTTGCCTCCTTTTTAGGTAGGTTAATGGCATGAATATTAGATCTGTAGGGTGGTTGTGTGGCCCTGGAAACTCTCCTTGTGTTTGATTGTCTTTATTTTGATCCTTTTCTCCATCCAAGTTGAATAAATTTTATTGACCTATTATGAGTTCACTGATTTTCCCTGTAATCCCCTTTGTGTTCCTAAACCCATTCAATGAGTTCTAAAAAAACAAAACAAAACAAAACAAGCCTTATGTCTAAAATGTTTTTAGACTTACAGAAACTTGAGTAGTACAAGCTTTTCCATATCCACAGTTGATTTCTCCCCAGTGCACACCCTGCCTGAGTACCGCACACCTGTGTGCTCATGGACCAGTGTTCCTTCAGTGCTCCTTACTAAATTCCATGCTGAGCTCCTTCGGCATCCCTGATGCCCAGGGCCACCAGAGGGAAGTGGGAGCTGGGGTGAGCGCCCTTGTGTGTCAGACTTCTACCCTGTCCCCGTGTGCTTGTTTTGTCCCCAGTTTGCACAGCGTGGCTCAGTCCATGATGCGCAGGCGCAGTGTCTGCCTTCAAGGTGTGTCTCCCCGGAGAGCCTCGCCTGGAACTCGATTGCCTGCTGTGCTGCAGGGAGGAGGTCATTAAGGCAGTGTGCTTGCTGTACCCAGAGGACCAAGGGCCCTCAGTCCTCCTGCGGGGCTTGTTGGTCCCCAAACCATCGTCCTTCCTGGGCCTCTGGCTCCTGCCCCTGATCTCTAGTATAGGCTTCCCCATAGCTTCTCCTCTCGGGAATTCAATCCACTCCTGGAAGGATGTGGCCAAATAAATTATGTTTCCCCCCTTTTTTTGATAGAAGTGGCAATTTTAGAGAGACTGCTCCTAACCACATTTCCTTAGGAGTAAATCTCAACAAAGATTTTGAAAATGCTTTGGGCTCTACGTTGGCATTGAAATAGGAAGGACAGAGGCTTGGGCCAGGGGGTCCCGAAGCAGACAGGTGGGTAGCCGGGCTCCTTCAGACAAAGTAGTCACTATACAACAGCGATGACACAGCCGGCTCCTGCGGGGGCAGGTCTACCCCAGCCCAGGCCCTGGATCAGGGTGACTGAGGGGATCACGGGGAAACCAAGATTCTCCCTCTGCAGAGAGCCATCCTTCCCCAGTTTTGCAGCATGGTCTTCGGGAGAGCAGGCGCCCCCACCGGCCCCTGTGGGGAGCATCAGCTGGGGGTGCCCTGCAGAGGTGGTGCCTGGGCTCTGGCTCACCCCAGCTGACGGTCCCTCTGCCCCGCCCAGGAAGCATGTGCGGCCCTCCTCGAGCAGTGCCTACGCTATGCACAGTCTAGGGTGCCCTGCAGTGCCCCTGAGAAGACCGAAGGCAACGTCAGCGTGGGGCTCCTCCCTCTCGGCTCGACCTCCAAGTCCCCTGCATTGGGCCCCAGCCTGAGCCTTGTGATCGATGGGCGGAGCCTGGCCTATGCACTGGAGAAGAACCTGGAAGACAAGTTCCTTTCCCTCGCCAAGCAGTGCCACTCCGTACTGTGCTGCCGCTCGACCCCGCTGCAGAAAAGCATGGTGGTGAAGCTGGTGCGGAGCAAGCTCAAAGCCATGACCCTGGCCATTGGTGAGTGGCCGGGGAGGCGAGCTGGTGGGCGGGCCAGCCTGGAGTCTCCGTACTTCTCCACACATCAAACGACATCAAACGGCAAAGTCTGTTTTACTTTTTTCCCACGTATAAAGCCACATGCAGTCTGATAATATGGGCAGCCTATTAAAAACTTACTTTGGAAAACCATGGAATGGTAGCAGCTGTGGTTCAGGCCCTGGGTCCAAAAACATAGCGCTAGCAGGGAAAGGCAGGCAGTGCTCCCATTGTTTCCTGGGCGACAGGACAGTGGAGACCTGCCCAACCCAGCCACACTGAAGGGCTGGTTCTCCTGGCTCCCGCTCGGCCCCACTTGGAGGAAAGGTGCTAGGGAGAGGTTCCTGGGGTTGGCGTCTTTCAGTGCTGTAAGGTTCAGAGCCAGCAGTGGCCAGAATCCCCGCGTCTTCTCTGCAGCTCTACATTGCTGATGGATCTGAGATAAGCATCACACAGGTAAATGACGCTGGGATAGGAACAGGTGCATGAGTTTTCATCATTTTACTAGCAACTGCGTGCCTAGCGCTGTTTCTTCTCGTGTGGTCTGTTTGTCTCTGAGTCTTCCAGGCTTCTCGGCAGTGGCGTGGTGAGCACGTGTCTTCTAAGGCAGCCTCTCCCGCTTCTGAGTCAGGAGAGTTCCTAGTACAAGTTCAGGGACTTGAAGGACTCCACAGTGAATGGAGGGGAGCACAGTGGTACCAGCTGAAGCAGGATCTCCACCTGCTTGAAAGTTGGCCCTGAGAGAGCATACGAACACCAACGGGTCATCACGCACTAAGCAGTGTAACGCTTGCCGCCAGAGAAGGCATGTGGAAGCCCCTCCTTCCTGAGAAAGGAAGCGCCACCTTGTCCTCATAGGTCCCTAAGCCAGGGCAGGAGGCCAGTACTGCACCCCAGAAGGTGGAGGAGGGAAGAGCATCCCTCTCTGAGCCGTGGTTGCCACGGAGACCTGGCCCTGCCCACCCAAGCACCCGGTGTTATTCGGGAGGAGGGGACTGGACTGTGGTCCTGATCTGGCAGAGATGTCCCAGGAAAGACTGCGTGGGCATCTTTGCTTTCTGGTGCGCGGACTGAGCTTCAGAGTTACCGAGCAATTATGAGAGTCGGGAACTGAGGAGTCTGTAGTTTGTGTCCCCACTGTGCCCCCTCCTTCTCTGCATATCTGAGTCTGCCCTGGGAACACCAGGGCGAGCCCTATCTGGAAAGGCCCGCGAGCTGCAAGCTGTAAACCATGTCTCTGTGGTCTGACCAGTGCCTGGCTTTACCCCATAGCTATCGGTCTGTGGTATTTGTTTGAAGAAATGGAAGTAAAACCTTGGCTACTTAAAAAATACAAAACAAAGTAGATTCTCAGAAGAGAAAGGGAAGGCAAGAGGTGGGAGCACTTCTCAGTGCCAGCAGTTCATGCTGCAGGAAGCATCTCTGTAGGCCATTGCTCATTTGAGTGTGACACTCTGGGGAAGCTGGCGGGATTTTTATTGCTTCGCAGTTTCAGTGTGACAAACACTGACTGGCCACCTGTGTTAGGCTTAACCCAGTGAAGGAAAAGCCCCAGGAAGGAGCTGTCCCTGAGCTACCCAGAGTGTTCTGACCTCGCACATTTGCCCTTTGATCCTGGGTCCGTCCTGGATGTGCCCTGTGGTCGGGCTTTCGGCTACCCACCTCCAACAGCCATCACTGTCACTGAGTGACAGGGACCTGTCTGCCTCTGCTTGCTTCTCCCTGACCCTGTCTTGTAAACATCTGTCTCTTGACACCCTGAAGGGAGGGAGAAGCTCTCTCTGCCGCAGGCTCAGAAGGCGGGGCTTGGGCTGGTGAGCGCGCTGCGGGGTAACCTGTGGATGGCAGGGCCTCCGCAGTTGCTAGGCAGAGTGAACCTCCTCCTCTTAGTGTAGCAAATGGCACATGTGGGTGTGAATCAGCGTAAACTTGGACGCATGGCTGGAGTAGTTGAGTCATTGTGACCATGATGGGGATGAGGTGACAGTACCCACTGGGCCAGACGCCTTGTTGGGGATTGGTCGGAGTGGAGGCCAGCGCTGTCTCAAGGGCACAGATTGCCAGCCTGTGGTGTGAGGCCTCACGCGTGGCCAGCAGTCCCGACTTCTCACCGTGGTCTCTTGTAACCACAGTTCTCCCGGCCTGGGTGCCGCTCAGCCTTTCCCCAGCTTCCCTGGGGTGCTTTTCTGGCCCTGTCCACTAGGACCCCACGGAGAACCAAGCCACTTGCTGGGTCTCTGTGTCCGCACTCCAACAGCGCTCCCTGCTTGCTCTCTCCAGGTGACGGAGCCAACGACGTCAGCATGATCCAGGTGGCCGATGTGGGCGTGGGCATCTCAGGCCAGGAAGGCATGCAGGTAAGACTGGCAGGCCTCCTGGAGGCCTCGGTGGCCCTCGCTGGCTGACTTCGTCCCACCACGCCATGAAGCTGCCCTGGCATTGCTCTGGGCCTGCGTAGCACAGCCAGGTCTCGGCCTTCAGTACAACAAATCCTTGCATTTTGAACCACCAGTAGGATGAGGAAACCACATCCATGTTTATGAAGCGCTGTGCAGCCAGCACGCCAGCCTGTGTCTGCACGAGTACACTCTGGGCAACAGTGGGTCAGAGCAAGGCTCGCTGAGGCGTCGCCCCGTCCCGGGTCTTGATGGGCCCAGCCCAGGCAGCGCTTGGTGTTTACGGTTCCTCAGCACCAGCAGTGCTGCGGCGCGGTTGGAAGCAATGTCGCTACAGACGTGGAAGCCAGCTGTTGTGCTGTGCACGGGGCAGACCTGCAGCTGCGCCTGCACTCGTGGCTTGTCACTTTGTCAGTGCTTACTGTCCCAGAGGTGGAACGCATGAGTTAATTAACAATGGGCTTCTTCTGGCTGTCACATGCAATGATTCCCACCTTTGGGCCAAGTTTGGATCATACCATTTTTGAACTTGATGGACAATTTAGGAATGATTTTTTTCAGCATTTTTCTAAAATTCAGGCTGTCAACCACTATGTACTAATAAATCATTCAGTAAGTCAGTATTTATTAAGCACTTGCTCTGTGCCAGGCCTGTGGCTTGCTAATTTTATTACTTGATCATAAAGTTCAGGCAGGTCAAAGGTCCCAGGAGGACTGGTCCTCAGGGTCTAGAGGAACTGGTTCCAGGACCTCACGGACACCACAGCCCCTGGGTGTGTAAGCCCTTGGTGTGCAATGACATGGTGTTTACCCTTGTCCTGGACGTGTCCTTTCGTCCACCTAGAGTGTGACTGGATGACTCCTAGTGTGTGCTGGTGGCAGACAAATGCTGCGCTGTCAGTCACGACATTGTGTTGGGAATTGGGGACTTGCTCACCATGATGCAGTCCCCCCCCATTTTCCATCCCCCGTTGTTTGCACCTGCAGACTCAGACCACTCAGATATGGAAGAGGGCTGCACAGGCCTGCAAGCAGGAAGCCGTGGGCTTTCCCAACCAGCTGCCGAGAGCACGCGGCCAGCTGTCTCAGTGCCTCTTCCCATCAGTGCAGGCAGGGCTTAAAAGTGTTCGTGTTCTTTCATTCTTCATTTGTTGTCCTATTACTTAGGACCCCACAGACTTGGAGACCCACAGGCCACCAGGCACAATGCCTGCCCTTGGTGGAATCCATCAAAGCACTCACTCCGAGGCACAGTTGTGAAAGGGGTGGGCAGCTCAGCGACAGAGCACCCTGGCTCCATTCCCAGCCCCGCAAGAATAAAAATAGACTAACCCGCCTCCAAGGCAGACTTCCAGGCAGTCTTTGAAGGAGGAATCCTGAGCTTGAGAACTCGCGAGGAAACCCGGCTCTCTAGCCTTCTGTCCCTTGTGCCACCTCCAGAGCCACCCCCAATGCAAAGCTTGTCCACCACTCTGGGAAAAATGGCCTTTACAAATTCTGTCCTGTTCTGGAAATTCCATGGGGACCAGGATAGCAGATGTGACCAGTCTGACGACCCCTGACACCTGCGCTGCCACAGCCATGGCAATAAAAGACCTGCCACTGGGTTGTAGTTGCTGGAAAGTCCAAGTAGCTAGAACAGAGGCAGAGGCAGAATCACTTAGCATACAGCCTCGGAAGGCCCTCAGTGAGCGGGCACGGTCCACCAGCATCCCACCCTGAAGTCACTCCAGCTCCCAGCCACACGCAGGGCCCGTGCTGAAGCCGCAGATCCCTTGGCAGGGGCCTGTGCTCCTGCCCTAACTGAGGAAGAACGCAGCGGCCAGGCCACTACCCAACATGAGGGCCCACATTAGGGTCTTTGATGGAAATGGCATTTATTTGTCGAGTCTCTTTGCGCATGAGATTGGCAAGCACTGCCCTACTCACCTTTCACTGCAGAAAATAGAGAAGCCAGACAACGCTGTACAAGCCACAGAGAGGCGCTTCCTCCCTCCCCTCGACCTGTGCCTCTTGAGCCACTCCTGCCTGTGGCCAACCGAGGCACTGTGCAGAGGCAGAGGCAGGCAGATGGATTCCATGTTCAGCTTTTGGGGCAGGAGAAGAGTGTGCGGCAGGGCTGCTGCGTGGCTGGAGGCGGGACAGGGGCAGCGACACACAAAGCTTGGGCCTCCGTTGGCCCTTTGGGGTCGCCACACCTACCGACACAGACAGCTGTGGGTGGCAAACTTATGAGCGCAAGCTGTACCTATGCTGAACATAAAATTTTTTCTTGTCATTTTCCCCTAAAAACCGCAGTAGAACAACTATTTATTCTTGTAGAGAAAGCAAGCCTAAATGCACCTCCCAGGAGAGCCAAACATCTGCCTCGGCTGCCGGGAAATGGAGTTCTGGCTCACCCAGCTGGAGGGTGTGGCAAGAGGCAGACAGGGCTGAAAAGGCGGGCTGACCTCATGCCTCCTGGCCCCTCGGCCAGTCCATGAACAGCACAGAGAAATAAAAGAGCAAAAACTTCCAAGCGCATCAATTATGGGTCTCATGTCAGACGCCTCCCATTAACTCTATAACTTGATATCCCTAAAAGTGTGTGTGAGAGTGTTTTTAATTGAAAGAGACCATAAGGAAGCCTATGGCAAAGCCACCCTTCCACATATTTGAGGCTGGGTGTTCCCTCCACGCTGTGACTCATCCTTGGGGGAGACAAGACAGAGTTTGCGCTTTGGGAGACATCACCAGTAATGGGAATTCTTTCCCTTTCAAGGCAGTGATGGCCAGCGACTTTGCAGTGCCGAAATTCCGCTACCTGGAAAGACTCCTCATCGTGCATGGACACTGGTGCTACTCCCGCCTGGCCAACATGGTGCTCTACTTCTTCTACAAAAACACAGTAGGTGTCAGATGCTGGGCTTGAAACATATTTAATCAGAAGGTCTGAGGCTTCTGGGGACACCAACAGAATGAGGCCCGGAGGCCTCCCATCCACTCTGCCCTCCTGGGTGTCAATGAAGGTCCCCTAGTTCTGGCCTGACTGCACCCTGTGTGCTCAGAGAGTAGCTGCGCCTCTGCCCTGGAAGGTCAGCGACGGAATAGGAACCCCACAAAAGCTCACGTGGCTCTCCAATGAGAAGTAGCACGAAGCCAGCAGAAGCCAGCGGTTTGTGCAGGGTCACACAGCCAGTAAGCTGGGCATGCCACGGTCACCAGCGGATGGCTCTAAGCTCTCCACTACTGTCCACATTTCTCAGGAGCCTGCTGCTGTAGGGTATCCACAGAGGGACAGCTCCCTTTGAGTCATCAGGGAAGATCAAAGGATAAACAGAAATGCATTTGGTAGTCCTGGTATCAGGTTTCTTGTACATGTTCAGATCCCAATACTGAAAGGCAGCTGGCAGGGACACACTAACACTGGGTCTGACAGGCAAGTCCCCTGCTGGGGCAGGAACAGGGACCTTTAAACTTGTGGGCCAGCAGAACAGCTGCGCCCTCTGCTGGCCAACTCCTTCCATACCGCATTTGCCCCACAGCACCTAGACTGGACAGTCCTACCTGGAGAACCTAATCTGGATTACGACCTGTGAGCACAAGACGTGCTGGATCTATTCCATATGGGTCTTAATGTTTAATCTGAGTTCTCTGTCTGTGGAGCTTCCGGAACGCATCCTTTGGCGCATGCCAAGTGAAGCGAGCCCATCCAGAACCCGCTCCCTTGGAAGAGAGTTCTCAGAGCTCTGCTGAGCACCCTCCAGGCTGTCGGTCCTGGCTCTGCCTCTGATATAGCACATGGCTCAGTGTACCAACAAGGACAGAAAGTAGTGACCTCGGGGTGCGTGACCTGCAGCGTGGTGTCCCGGGTCTAGCTCTCCCAGCACCAGAACAAATGTCAGCCTCAAGGCCATCTAGTACCGTTCTGAAAAGGAATAATCAAAGGCGTCCTCTTTCCAATCTCACAGGGTGTCTGTGCTCACCAGGCGCCGTCAGTCACCTCCTGGCTGTGTTCTGAATGTTTTGTTCTTTGGGCTGACACCTGGTTTTCCGCCTCCCACCCACTGTCCTGCCTGATTTTCAAAACATCTTCTAGCAAATGGGTACAGATGCTCAGAATAGGTCAGGGTGTCTAATTGGATAGCTTTCTCCCTGGAAGTTAAGTCAGGTGAGCTCTTTTCTGGGCTGCATCCAGGGAAGGCCACGTTGCATGGTCCTGCTCTTGCCCTTGCTGTCCCAGCACTGAATCCCCAGCCTGGCAAGGCCTCCGACGCAGTTGCTTACAGGCTTCTGAGGCCCTGGGAAGAGTGATCCAGCCTCATTTCCATCCCTTGTAAGCAGTGCGATCTTAAGCAAGTTACACATTCTTCTTGGTTTATGAAGGGGGTTTTGTCCTGATAAACCCATCACAAGCTGAAAACAACTGAAAGTTGTGACTCGGACAATGCATGCAGCCTACCTAACACCATAGCTTAGCAACCCACATGCTGCGGAGCCTCTGCGGTGTCCCTAATGATCTTGTGCTTGTCTAGGAACCCTAAGCCAATGCCCAACCTCTGTGCATGCATGTGTGCGTGCATGCATGTACTTGTGTGTGTGCACACACGCGTGTGTATGTGTGCACACCTCTGAGTCTGTGTGCATGCACACTTTGCTGGAGATTAAGTCCAAGGCTGCAGAACTCCACATCTGCTAGGCCAGCTGTCCACCACTGAGCTGCCTCCCTGGCCCCACTGCCCAGAATTTTGACAGAGCCTTTGGCCACACGTCTCACCTAAGCTAAGATCCACATACAAAGCAAAGTTTCTGCTGAAAACATATTGCTTTGTAAAGTTGAAAACTCCTATTGATTATTAGCAGTTGGATATCCCTATGTATTTGCCTTCAGATTTTATTTAATTTGAAAAACAAAGAAAACACTAGGAGTTGAGCTAGCTGATTTCTGAAATTCCCAGTTAAAATTTCTCTGATGGACTGAGTGGCAGTAACGATGTAGGTCACTCCATTCAACACAGAGGACTGGAGCAAAGCCCAGAGTGGGCACCAGGGTGGACACCGCCTCCTGCCAAGTGGGATGAGCCCATCCTTGTCAGAGGGTGCAGGAAGGGAAGGGACAGCCATGTGTGTTCCACGTGAGCTGCAGGCCCTTGGTGACAGCACCCATCTATGCGAGGAGCTCAAGGATAATCACGCTGCCTCCTAGCACAAGAGTTTCATTAGTTTTAAGAATAAATTGCCCTTCCTTTCCAATAAAGAGTGGAGAAGAAAGGTTTCCATAGCAACAGTGGCTTAGAAATGGAGCTCTCTGGTACCACGGGAGAGAAAACCTCGGTTATCCAGGTGCTTTTCCTCCCCTTTTCCCCGACTCCATTTGCTCACTGATGACTCATGAGGCTGAGGTATGGGAGAGAAAAATCAGCCGTGGGTGGAAGAAAGAAAGAAAGTCAGTGAGAGGTCCGCAGCAGGCTGTGGGCGTGGAGGGGGAGAGCTGGAGGGGAAGGCTTACAGCTGCCTTCATTTCCCTGCGAGCCTGCCGTTTCTTCTCCTCTTTACAACGAACAGCCCACAGGAAGCCTACGCTTGGGGAGATTAAGAGGCTGAATCGAGGTCAAAGCCTTAGATGGTCGCAACTCCCAGACCCAAGCCCGGGCTGGCTGGCAGCGTCCATGGACCACCCTGGGCCTGGCCTGAAGCCCACCTGTGGCTGCACACATTGGGCCCTGTGGTTTTGTATCTTGGAACTTCGGTCCCCTCCGGATGGCAAAATGGTGGCTGTGCGTGAAATTACGATCCTGCTGGCTGCCACCAGCACGCTGCAGGGAGCACCTGGCCGCATGTCGGGAGCTCGAGGGAGCACTTCTGGGTCATCAGACCCATGAATCCTCTCAGCAGCCATATGGCTGAGTGTCACCGGTGTGCCTGGGTAGTGCGCAAGGACACCAAAGCAGCAAAGGCCGAATGATCTGCTCTGCAGACCTACGGCAGGGTGTTCTCTGTGTTAGCTTTGAACCTCATGGTAGCATCCCTGGGGCTAGCAGCGTGTGGCAATCAAGGCTTCTTGTGGCTCATGGTTTCAGAACTCTCAGTGCATGGTAGCTCAGCCTGGTGGCCTTTGCTACTGTGGCAGGGCAGCACAGTGTGGCAGCAGGAGCTGCTCACCTCATGGCTGCCAGGAAGCAAAGAAAGGAGGAGACCAGAGACCAAGGCCCCCTTCGGGCTCCAGCCTTGATGGCCTGATTCCTTCCACCCGACGCACCCCCTGGAACATCACAGGCTGGGAAACGTTAGATGTGTGGGCCATCGAGGGAACATTTAAGATCCAAGTTATGCTTGAGACTGCTAAGCTGCCGCATGCCTGCTTGTAGCACTCAAGAAAGCCATCAGTTCTAGGAGGTTCGGGAGTGCTGGGGAGCGATCCCTCCCTCTTGGTCACCCTCCTACTGTGTGCAAGGAGGTGGTTCGGCCCGCCCACCTCCACTCTCAGCACAGCAGGATCTCTACAAGGTCGGAGGTCAACACCCTCCCTCCAGCCTGCAGCGCACCAGGGTGGAGCAACACTTGGTCAGGTCAGTGTTGCTGGCCTCGGCACCTTGCCAACGGGCTTGCTTCTGTGTCCTCCGCTCCGTGGAAGTCAGTAACCATCTCATTGAAAAAGGAAGGTGACTAACAAGGGAGACCAGGGTGCAGCCCTAGGGAGGTTTCATTGGGGCCACAAAAGGCACAGCGGTCCTAGAGAAAAGCCACAGCTGCAGCCTGCCCCATGGAATCTTCGTTTTGTTTTACACTAATGATCTGCATCTCTTCAGGCATAAAACCTTCTCTGTCCCAAAGCTGCTCCTGGGAGCTACAAGTTCCTGCTGCCCACTCCTTGGGCTTAGGAGACCAGAGACGGCTGGGAAAAGGGGGGAGGGAGTGGCAGAGGCCAACAGCCAAGCTGTGATTGGAAGACATAGCAACTTGGGGAGTTTATCTTTACTAGAAAACAAAGAGGGTGGTAGAAAGTACGGCTAGAGCAGGGAACAAGGTCTGGAGCCCAGCAATTTCAGAGATGACTTTTGAGGTCTGCACAGTCCTATGGATAACCCACTATGACTACTGAACTATATTGGATTATTTTGCTGCTTCACACACCTACAATATTTAAATGGCAATGGAATACCCGTCTCTGACAAAACTAAATGGAAAAGGGGGATATAAATGAAGGACCATTTGGTATCTGTATATACAAAATAGTTAGGATAGACATATAGCTACTTTCTCTTAATTCAATGAGAAGTAAGATTTGTACTAATAGTGTTTGGACAGGCTATCATGTCTGCATCTTGTACCATGAATAACTACTACAAAGACAATAATATGCAATGTATTAATTACTGTAACTGTCCTACTATCTTGTTTTGAAACTTTCTCATTACTATTTGTTTCTCAATAAAATTAATAAAAAATTAAAAAGAAAAACTGCAGGACTGTCAGATCCTTCTGGCGGGAATCTGCCAGGGCAGCAAAGGATACCCTGAGTCGGTGTCTCTTCCTTGGTTGCAGATGTTCGTGGGTCTGCTGTTCTGGTTCCAGTTTTACTGTGGCTTCTCGGCGTCTGCCATGATCGACCAGTGGTATTTGATCTTCTTCAACCTGCTCTTCTCATCACTGCCCCAGCTGGTGACCGGGGTGCTAGACAAGGACGTGTCGGCAGATGCACTGCTGTTGGAGCCGCAGCTCTACAAGAGCGGACAGAAGAGGGAGGTAGGCTCGGAGCGCTGCCCCACCAGCCCCCACCCTCTCAGGGTGGCCTGTCTCCGAGATGCCTTTGGCAGAGTTGCTGGCTCACTGTGGAGCTGGCCCGGGGCAAGGAAAACGAGTGTGGTCTGCTGGTCTCGGTAGTGCGCTGTGTCCCCTGGAGTGGTGGCAGTGGTGCTGCTGAGAACATTTAAGTGTTAGAGAGAAAGTTTATTTAAATAGCTCCTGGTTCTGAAAGGGGAGAGCTGGGCTCCAGCCCTGTGGCAGACAGCAGGGATGGGGAGCTGACTGCCCACCTCAGGATCCAGAAGGCCAGGAGCCAGGGGCTCAGCCCCACCTTTCCTTCCTGGGTATACCCCAGGGACCTCCCACTGGACCCCTATCCTGACAGCCCTCCACCTCCAGTGGTGCCACCCTGGGCACTCAGCCTGTCACACACATGCGGACCTTTGCGGACCCAGCCACAGCGCACAGTACATGTAAGAGGTAAAGCCCTCACAGGCTGGTATTTCCAGAGCCCAAGGGGAGCTGACCCCGAATCCAAGTCAGTCACAGACAGCTAAGGCTCGGCAGGAAAGCTCTAGAGCAAGCCCCCAAAATGTTACTTCTTTTTGATGGGAATTGAATGAAGACAAACCCATAAGGAAGACCGTCAAACCACTGGCGTTACGCTTTGCTAGCATCAGCCCTACAGTAGACACACTAGTGACCGCTGCTTCCAGCCAGCCATTCAAGCAGCGCTCGCTCCCGAGTACTTCTCTTTGGTAAGTCTGCGTTCTGTGCATGCAAGAAGACTATGGCACCTTCGCTTCCCTACAGCAATCTCCAAATCCAAACTGGTTCCCTTGCACACTGGTGTCCCTGACATTTGGCCCACACTGGAGCAGGCTGCGTGGGGTCAGGCAGGTGCAGCTTGACATTGGGCATCTAGGACAGTCCCATTCTTCACACCTCAGCCAGCCAACCTTAGGCTGCAAGTGTGTCGTGCAGAGTGAGGTGGCCCGCAGGGGGAGGTCGCCAGCACTTCCCTGGGGGTCTAGTGGCCGCTCTTCCATCCCCTCTGTGCTTCCTGCAGAGCGAATCCCGTGCTAGCTACTTGCAGTTTAGCAGGGTTAAATACAAATGTGGTTACCCAAGTGATGCAACCTCAGTTTGCCCGGGGCACGGTCATTTTGCCCATGGGTCTATAGTTGTCTTGGTCTGCTTGGCATCGCTCTAAGGGAAGACCTGAAGCTGGCTGTTTCCTAAGAGGTGTGCTGCAGTCCGCCTGAGACATGAGGAAGCCGAACTGCCTCTTGTGACAGCTGTGTTGCTGGCAGAGCCTGGAAGCGTCGCATAGGCCCTGCGGCAGGAGGCAGGAGCTGCGAGCGGCTGTGTCCTCTGGTCTCTCTTCTTACAAAGCCGTGAATACCGAACAGTGTGGGATCCACTCTGATACTTTTATCCTTCAACTCCATGGGCAGATCATCCCTGTCCCTCAGTAGTTCCCAGTGGGGATTAAATTTCAATCTGTGAACCTGCGGGGGCCGCAGTCAAACCAAATCCAAATTATAGTTGCTTTTTGGCTTCAACACAGGACACATCATCATTGACTTTAAAAATGTAAGAACTGCTTTTAAGCATCCTTCTGAAGGGCTCACCGCAAAACCCGGGCGAAGTAGAACATGGAAAGAACAGAAGGGCTCGTGTCGGAGGGGCCAAGTAGCGCATCAGGCTCTTGTCTCTTCCTGCCCTCTCCTCTTCCTGCTGCGGCGCAATGTTCCCACCTACTTGCTAGTCATCAGAAAGTACTTTCTCTCACATTGGCCTGTGACCACTCGGCTTGACTGGGGTGCAGCAGCTCCCGCTCAGCCTCGCAGTTCCACGGGCATTTGCTTTCTCATCACTATCTGGGGCCCAACCCCTCCCGAAGCCCTAAGACACACGTTCTCCTCTGGTGCCTTGTCAAGGGCCTTGGCATCCCAGAAAACATCCTCCGAGGAGCGGGCTGCCTCCCTGTAATCTCCATTCTTGTTTTTGTGTCCCAGGAATATCGTCCGCGTGCTTTCTGGTTAAACATGGTCGATGCCGCCTTCCAGAGCTTGGTTTGCTTCTTCATTCCTTACCTGGTAAGTTGGCGCGCGGCGTGATTCACTCTGCACACATGCGCGGGAGCGCGCAGACATGCGACGCCGCTGTCTTCCAGGCCTACTACGACTCCGACGTGGACGTGTTCACCTGGGGCACCCCCATCACGGCCATCGCGCTGCTCACCTTCCTCCTGCACCTGGGCATCGAGACCAGGACCTGGGTATGAGCTGCCTGCACGGGCCCTTCCCGAAGGGCCGTCACTGCAGGCCCCATGCTTCCCGCAAGCTCCACGAGGCTGCACTTCTTGGAAGACAGGAGTCCCAGATGTTGGCCCCTGTGACAAGAATGAAGACAACCTGGCCTGGAGCTCCCGCACGTCCCAGGCAGCTCTCAGCTGCTGCCACCTGTCCGTCCCTGGGCCTGTCCCTCACCAGCCCTCTCCCATCTTGCTCTCCTGTCCCTGTCCCAGCCAGTTCCCAAGGCTTCACCTTGCACCACCAGCCACCTGCAGCAAAGACCCCAGATTTCACTAAGCCCTTAGGACCTCCCACCCACTCACAAATGACTGATGCCTTTTCCCCTCCATCACTGTTACCACTTGTTAGTTGAAATAGAAGCCTTTTCTCTGTTTCCCCTTCAGACCTGGCTCAACTGGGTAGCATGTGGCTTCAGTATCCTTTTATTCTTGACGGTGGCTTTGATCTATAATTCTGCCTGTGCGACCTGCTATCCTCCATCTAACCCCTACTGGACCATGCAGACGTTACTGGGAGACCCCGTGTTTTACTTGCTCTGCTTCATAACACCTGTCACTGCACTGCTGCCCAGGTGGGTATCAGAGGCGGCACCTGCACATCCTGGGTGAGCCTGGGCATGTGTGTGTTGCTGTGGCTTCACCCTGGGGACCCCCAGGAGGCTCCGAGGCACCTCCTGCAGCCACCGCTTCTGACTGCTCCTTCTGTGTCTTTCCAGGTTGTTCTTCAAAGCTCTCCAGGGAAGCCTGTTCCCCACTCAGCTGCAGCTGGGACGCCAGTTGGCCAAGAAACGCCACAAGACCCTGAAGACTCCCCAAGAGACCTTTGCTCAGGGACACCTCCCAAGAGAGCCAAAGGCGGAGGTCTCCAAAGGGAGCGCCGGGTACCCCCAGGAGTCCCTCGCTAGGGACTGTGCCTCACACGCTTCCCAGCATGCACAGCAGCCACCAGCCTGCTCTCCCAATGCCAGCGGGGAGCCCAGTGCAGTGGACATTAGTGCACCGCTCAGGGAACACGGCTGGATGGGGTCCCCAGGGTCTTCCCTACCCGGGGAGGCTGTGCCAGGAGAGTGTGCTGGGAATCACCAGAGAAAGCCCCTTGGCACAAGCCAGGCAGCTCCCCTGGGGTCCCTCTTCAGCCTGCCCAACCTCAGATCCCTGGGCTGTGTGTCCTCCCTGTCCCTGGTCAGCGGGCTGGGCAGCGTCCTCCAGTTCTCCAGAAGTAGTTTACATACGGACCAGCGGGGTGGTGAGCTCTTGTCCAGCCCCCCGCAGCCAGAGCAGGACATGTCTGGCTTGCAGAGACAGGCTGCAGGCTACTTCTAGGTCAGCCAAGGGACCACAGGCCCTTTCTAGGTACATAACCTAGGTGTTAGGATTATTTATGTTTATACACAGAAGAGTTATAGGGAGATACATTTTTAAATATTTCCAGACTAACACAGGAAATGAGAGGCACCCCCAAAAACTTTATTTTTTAAAGTTCTAAGTATAATGATAAAGAGAAAGAGCTTTAACATATATATGTGTATGTATATATAAAGGTTAAAGAAGCATAACACTTGAAAAGCGTGTTTAAATTTATTTTTTCATCTCATTTTGTAAGAAAAGGCAACATGACTTCTTTCTTCAGTGTGTGTGACCTTTGTTTTCTCCGGCTAGAAATGCATGACTAAGGGTAGTGAACACAGGTGGGTGCAGGCACTGAGGCCAGGAGCACGGGGCCCGGGGCCCCCAAGGCAGACCCTCCACCAACCAGGGGTGGGGCTGTTGGTGGCGCCTCTTCATCCAGAAAGGGGAAGTGAGCCCTCAAAAATAACTGACACATGAGTTTCCTTCCAGCACTCAGTTGTCCGTGGGCATTTATTTCGTAAAGATCACCTTGTAGGCATGACAACCCCAGCCTGGTACCGTTTTGCCTGTTAAAATCATCACAAGCAATAAACAACCTTCACTTTGTAAAGAGGGTGTCTGGCTGCTGCTTTTGTACAGGATGGTCTGTGTGTGACCTAGCAGGGGCCAGGAGCCTGCCGGCACTTTCTCACAGACCCTGAAGGAAGGGGCTGGGTGATGCACCAGCCAGGCACTGTGTGGCCCCTCGCGTCGGGACTTTCCAGCCCCCGGAGCTGTGAGGGCGTGCGCCTCCAGTCTTGGTGAGTGACCTGTCCTTGCATCCTCTACTCTAGCAGCACAAAGCAGACTGAGCCACAGGGCTCCTGCCCCTTCTGCTGCTTTCTTTTCCTAAGGCAGCATCTGTTCTTGGCGAAGTCACCCCACACAGCACAGCTGCACACACGGCTTGTCCAGACTAGGGACTCTGACACCCACGTGCCAGCCCAGCGGCCCTTAGCCGTGCCTTGTATGGGTCCCACAGCAGCCTCTGGACCCCTTACTGGTGAGCCAGGGGCAGATGACCTGAAGGGGAAGTGTACATTTTCCCCAAAGGATCTGGGCTGAGGAGGGGACCCTTAGAGGCACATAAGAGTGTCCTCCGCCAGCTGGGGGTGGCAGAAGGGGGCTGGAGGCGGCCTCTGAGGGACCACAGGCCACAGCGTGCTCACCGTCTCCCTCCACCGATGCCACCTGGTCTGCTCAGCGCAGACAACTGCACAGGTCTGTAGCTCACTGAAGTCCTCTGAGGATGATCACAGACTGAAATGCGTGTGACCTGTGTGGCTGAGACCCCGAGGCCCCGGCTCCCGCACAGCCCTGCCCTGGGCACCAGCCTCACAGAGCACGTCTTTCCTCTTAGCCAGGGTGCTGCCACCTGGTGACTCCAGGAATACTCGAGCCAGAGTCAGTTTAGAGAAGTAAGCATGGCAGGTGGCCTCGGGAGTCAGCGGCTTCGCGGGATGACAAGCACGCAGAGCAACCTGCAGTAGCCAGATGCCCTGCCCACCCCGATAATCCCAGCACTCTGGGAAGCTGAGGCAGGAGGATGGCAAGTCCGAGCACAGCCGGGGCAACTCAGTGGCTGAGCCAGAGCCCATCTCCAAAAAAAATACAAAAAGAGGGCTAGGGATGTAGTTCAGGGCAAAGGCCCTAGAATCCATCCCTAGTCATGCAAAAAAAGAAAATTTATAATAATTTTTCACAGCCAACTAGCTTTGACAAGGAGATGAGTGTAGCATTTGTCCTTCTCCCATGTATTTGCAATACGCAGCAGTGACATCCTGCTTGGGGCGCTGCTGGCGCATGCGCTGCACCTCACCCTCCCAGCCTCCTCCTCCCTCCGTGCCCAGGTCTAGCTCCTTGTGCCCACTGTCCTTTATTTTCTCCCTTACACTTATTATGGGTATCTCAGAGAAGCCCCTGTGTGTGATGCGTTCCCCTTAACATCGTGGTCTCACGAGTCACCCGTTTTTCTACAAATGGCTCCAGTGTGTCCTCTCTGCGGCTGAGGCACACCCCATTGCACGTGTGCACCACGTTTGTGGGGTGTCTTCATCTATGATGGGCCTAGAGAGGGACTTTCATGGTATTCTCGTAAAGCACTAGGTGAAGATGCCCCCAGGCCCTAGTAGCAAATATAAGTCAATAGAAAGGCTGACTACAAAAGACAGCTCTGCTGGCAGCAGAATAGCTGGGCTAATTAGCTGGCATTTCACAGCACGCTTGCTCACAGCCTAAGCTGTTACTTCAAATGCTTGGGGCCAGCTCAGGTGCTTGGGCCTCTCAGCGCTTGTACAGAACTTAGCAGTGTAATGCGCTGAGCAAATAGTGGATGAATCCACAGGTACGTGACACCGGAGCAATGCTAGAGGCATCCTGTTAAAATCAGACTTAAGAAATGACTTGTGGGGCCGGGGAGACGGCTCAGTGGAGTAAGCACTTTCCTGGCAAAGCACAAGGGCCTGAGTTCCATTCCCGGTTCTGCAAAAAAAAAGGGGAGGAAAGGAAAAAAAAATGACCTGTGAGTTATTATTTAATATTTTTAGAATACCTGGGCAATGCTATAAGACATGAATTTTATATTATATATATATATATATTCTTGGAACGTTAGAGACCAAATTATCATTACTTATATGTGATATGTTTATAACCTGGAAAATCCAAATAAATAAATTACTCAAAACTAATAAAGCAAGAAAATAAATTAACTGCATACAAAGAAGACAAGCCATAGCTTTTCTTTCTTCCGTTCTTTCTTTTTTTCTTATGCTTTTAGTGCAGGGTCTATAGGGTCTCACTACACAGATCGGACTCGTAGTGATTCTCCTGTTTTCAGCCTCCCAAGAACTGGGACGACAGGCGTGCGCCACCACGCCGCCTCAATCACTGTCCCAGCGTGCCCCGGGGTGGGGCTGGCGTAGCACACCGGGGGTCAAACCCCGACGCGCGTCTGCCTAAGCAGGCGCTATCATCCCCTGAGCTACGTGGCCGGCCCAGAAGCCACAGCTTTTCCACAGAGCATAGTAACCAGGAAGGGATACTGGCGAAGGCAGGAAAAGGTCACACTCGCTGATGCGACGGCGCTCGCTAGCAAACACTGAATTGCTAGGCAGTCATTTTGGTAACCATAAAGACAGCTGCTTATCAATTTAGGAAGATGTTAACATCCTAAATAAAAAATATGCCTCACTCCTAGATTAGAAAATAACTGCTATAAAACCTACACTTCACTATTTCTGTAGCCTTTTATTTGTTTCTTTAGGCATTTCTGAGATTAACAAAATGGTTCTAGAGTTTATTGGGAAGGATGTAATATAGGCAAAGACATCAAAGAAAATTCCAAGTAAAAGTCATGAAGGAAACACTTCCATTTTCTATGATGAAATGTCGTCCAATACTGGCAGGAAAAGCAAGTCATTTAAAAATAGCAACTGCCAGGTCAGATGAGAAAATATTTTATGTATGAAGTACTAATACTCAAAGTAATACACAATCAATCCAAGAAAAGACATAAACACAGAGATCTGGGGGCCTGGCCCTAGCTCAGGCCTTTAAGTGGCTGCTTCCACAGAGATTTGATGTACTATACATTTATAACCACTAAGTGATTTAAAGCAAGAAACAACAGTGCCATAAGAACTTGAAGCCGTCGCCGGATTTCTCCCGGGCAGCCCCTTCAGCCCTGGCCACAGCCCTGGGGGTCCTGGCTGCCTTTGGCTCAGGGACTTTACTCCAGGGTCCCCGCCTGCAGCTCCATCTCAACCGTCCTTGAATCTCCTTAGTGCCGTTGGCATGTGGCTGCCCTGTTCCATGCCAGTAGGGCCACCTGTCTGGACCCCCTATGACACAGGCCTGCAAATGCCTTCTGTACTATGGTGAGGAATTCAGTGTGTGTGACTGTCATCCCGCCCAGGCCCTGCGTCCCCACCAGTCCCAGGGCAGAGGCCTCTGTGAGGAAATCTTAACATTAAGTGTGGCTCACCTGCAGATAAACGGTAGCTAAAACCTCCAAAGAGGAAAGCCTTTGCCGCTAAAACCATCTCAACACTTGTATACAATAAGCAAAACTGCATACTGAGCCTGCTGGGGAAGCTGGTGACACAAGTTATGTGATGCATGAGACGCCATGAATTAGTGACACAACCATCAAGTCAGTATTTGGCCGCAGACCGATGCACCGGGCTCTCACTGTGAGGGAGCTCAAGCCTTCTGGAAAGGAACTTGGCAACAGAGAACAAAACACTTGCAACATGCTCATTTTCTCGGACCCCGTGATTCCACCTTGGAGGCCAGAGCTAAAGAAAATAATCTATTCTCACATGTATGATTTCTTTATTCTGTTTTTAGTGATAAAAATTTGATGACAACTTGAGTAAATGTCAGTGAAGTCATAACTAAGAAATTTCAGAAATATCAGAGCTGTCATTTGTGCAAAACATGGGCTCCACTGAGGGGAACAGCAGAAAAGGAGAGAAGGGTTAGACCACTGAAGCTGGAAACCAGTCGGATGCGTGAGAGCAGGACTAGGCCTCGATGCCTGAAGCAGTCCAGCTGCCCCGTGGTGAGAAAAGCACCCTGGCTGGACTGTGTCAGCCATTAGCCGCTGGGCAGCCTTGTGCCACATGCCAACTCTGCAAAGGTGTAAATAAGCCCCCTACTGTTGTGCTGGGGGCTGTCTGCCACTCAGACAGACGGGCCACGACCTGACCCAGCTCCTGTCTGCTTTTCCTCACTGCTGCAGCCATTTAGCCCTGGGGTACCCGAGAGACGAATGAGTCCCTACAAGAAACTACTTACTACATGTTTAGTTCCCCAGGATGTAGTCAAATACGTCACGCAAAACTGGCATTTATTACACGGAGTATTTGCTGAACCAGGCCAGAAGTCCCATCATGAAGGATGTCAGGGTAGTGGCCACAGAATGCTGTTATGATCACAGCTAAGAATACTCTCGGTCTCCGGACCCGTCTGCTGCATGCGTGCGCTCCTGTCTCCACTGGCGTTTGTTTCTGGGTCCAAATCACTGAAACGCAGCATGGTGAAAACTATATATGACTGCGTCACAAAACTGGATTCTGAGT